AGGTGGATCTCTGAGAGCTCAAGGTCAGCCTGGTCTACATAGTGAGTTCCAGGCCAGCTGGGACTACAGGGAGACCCTATGTCAAAAAGACAAAAAAAGAAAAAGAATGTGAGACCCAAAGAGAACTTGTCTTACATCTGTGTCCCTAAGCCCTAGCAGGTACTCAGTAAATGTTGGAAGAATAAAGTCCTTCCTAGCCCCAGAACAGTCCTTCAAATGTTGTCTTACTCGTCCTGTCCCTGGTGTCCCAGCCCAGAGCCTGTAATGTCCCCGGGCCCTCAACACGTGTAGTTTCCCTTGCCTCCCATCCTCATACACACTGCTCACAGGGCTTCTTCCCTTTGCCTCTTTTTAAGAACTATTTAGGGGCTGGAGAGATGGCTCAGCAGTTAAGAGCACTGACTGCTCTTGCAGAGGACCTGAGTTCGATTCCCAGCACCCACATGGCAGCTATGAACTGTCCTTAATGCCAGTTCCAGGGGAATCTGACGCCCTCTTCTGACCTCTGTGGCATTGCATGACACAGGTGCACTCACATACATGCAGTCAATATACTCATACACATAAAATAATAAAAAAAATTTTTAAAGAAATATTTAATATTTTTATTTATTTATTTTTGGTCTTTTTTTGAGACAGGGTCTTCCTGTAGCCCCAGCTGACCTGGAGCTCACTGTCTAAATCAGGCTGGCCTCAAACTCACAGAGATCCGACTGCCTCTGCTGGGATTAAAGGCATGTGCCACCACACCCAGCTTTAATATTTTAAAAAATTTTATGCATATAAGTGTGTTGCCTACATGTACATAAGTATACCATGTGTGTGCAATGCTGACAGAGGCCAGAAGAGGGCATCAGATCCCCTGGAACTGGAGTTATGGATGGTTGTTAGCCACCATTGAACCTGGATCCTCTGCAAGAACAGCCAGTGGTCTTAACCACTGAGCCATCTCTCCAGCACCTCCCCCAACACTTTGCCTCTTGAACCTCACTTCTCTAGTTCCCAGCTGGCATCAGTGCTCATTACATTCAGGCACTGCCTCCTCCTGGAAGCCTTTCTCATTTCCTCTTTGGCAAATCCTCTCTTCTGCCCCTGAAGATCTGCGTCCCCGTTGAAGAGACCGGTACTCTCCTGTGTTCTGAGAACATCTCCCTCTTTCATGACCATGGAAGTTGCTTAGGGGCTAGGACTAGTCTGGTTCATCACGGTGTCCTCAGCACCCAGCCCCAGTAGTTCTGGCACAGACCTCAGGAAACATGAACCTGGCTGGGCCTCATTATGATACAGACTTCTGAGATTAGAGGAGACAGACCAGTGTCTCCCAGTTGAACAATCCACAGCAAACCATTCCCTCTTTTTGAGTATCAGTTTCTTCATTCATAAAATGGATGTGATGATCGCAACTTGTCAGAGTTGTTTGAACTGTGGAACATGGAAAGTGTTGGGTAAATGGTGGGTCCCTGGGTTTAACAACTGTCTCTGTGGGCAACAAATCTGTACTCTCCAGGAAAGAATGTCTTCTACTTAGCCCGAGGCCTGGACCCTGGTCTGAGAGGTCCTTAGAGGTAAGAAAGTGACAGGCATGTCAAGTCAAAGCCCTGAACTTGGAGCCACATAAATGAATTTGAGACATAACTGCATAGTTCACTGGCTGTGTGGCCCAAGGCAAACCCCTCACTTCTCTGATCCTTACCTTCTTGATCTAGAACTGGGGCTGACATTATACACTAGCCCAAACCTCCAAACAATGCAAGTAAGGAGCATAGTTCTTGGTAGTGATTGGTAGGTTACTGTACCCCCAATTCAATCTCCTGGCCTTTTCCCTAGTCTCCCTGTGATTTAGGACTGTATCTAAGGGGCACCCTAGACATGAGCCATGTTTGTTCCAAAATTGGAAAAGGAGCCTTTGTATTCTAGATGGTATCTGTAATCTGGTCAGGGACCTACAGTCTGAACTAGGTGCTGGAACTATAGACAGATCTTGATATTCCAGAGAGTTCAAATGCAGGTGACTCCCGGTGTCTGTGGAGTCCCGCAAGTAGAGACAAGTGAGTGCAGCTGGGAAGGACATACCTTCCATCTTCAGCACCCCTAATTCCTGTTCACATTTATGCATTCTTCCAGAATGCTGCCCAGTGCCTGGTACATAGTAGATGCTCAGTAAATATACATTAGAAGAATGAATTTGTTACATACAGTCAACAAACATTTACTGAACACCTATTGCATGTTCATCCCTGTGCTAAGGAATGGAGGCCCAAGATGGTATAGACACGGCAGCTGGTGTTCACAGCCCCTTCCCATGCTCTCCCAGAGAACCTTCAGGCCTTTCAGCTCTTCCTGCCCCTAACCCAGCTCCCATTGTGTTCCAGACTCCAGGCCAGGTTTCCTCCAGAATTGAAGTAATGGCCAAGAACCTGATAAGTTCTAGGAAGCCTGCACCCCAAGGCCACAACTCCCAAAATTGTCCTAGTCTCCCAGGCCCCTAAGTCCAGCTGCCTTTCTCCTCCTGCTCAGATTGCCTGCATTGCTTTCTCCCCCTCCCAATGGCCTACATTGGCCTGGGTTTTGCCCAGAGTGGCCAGCAGGTGGCGCAGAGGCTCCCCTTTCTCATTGCTGGACTGTAGGCCAGACCCCACCAGGACCCTCTCTCCCTCCTTTCTCCTCAGCAGGGACAAAACTGGATGCTGTGACCTCTCTCTGACCCCTGTCTTTCCTTCTGCTCCCAGTGATGGCTAACTGAAGAGACTGCAGTTGCTTCTGCAGGCCCCCTGGCTGTCTAGGGGAAAGGCAGGGGGTCCCTAGGGGTTAAGCTGCAGCTGGTAGGGTGGGGCGGCTAGGGCAGGGCAGGCAGCAGCTGCCAAGAGAGAAAGAGAGAGAAAGAGAAAGAGAAAGAGAAAGAGTGAGGTGCTCTGGTTCTGCTGCCATCAAGGCAGGTCGAGGTGCCAGCGAGGTACCAGCTGAGGCTTATCCCCAGGACAAGGTATGTGGCCAAGAAAACAGATGGTCCTGGGGGATCGGCCTGCCCAGTGGGGCAGTCCTGGGATACAGAGAGCTGGGCCATGTGGTTGGTTGTAAAGTTCAACAAACAAAACCCAGCGCCTTCTCCCATATCATTCTTCCAGGGGGGCTAGGTAGAACCTTGGGGGGCAGGAGAGGAAGCTGTGGGCAAGCATGGGGGGGGGCGGGAGCTGTTCTATGGCAGCTTGTTTGTTTGTTTGGCTGGTTGGTTGGTTTTGTTGAGACAGGGTCTCACATGTAGCCCTGGCTGGCCTGGAATCTATATGGACCAGGCTGGCCTCAAACGGTTAGAGATCTGCATGCCTCTGCCTCTCCAGTGCTAGGATTAAAGGCCTGCACCACACTCCACCTCTGTGGCTGCTTTTGCCTCACAATTTTGTTGGCCTCCATCTGTGTGACTCAGTTCCTTAGTCTAAAGCCTGGGGGATGGGGTGGAAGATCTTAAAGAACTTTTGTTGGATAGCTGTGTTAAGCTGTCCCTTTTCCAAAGAGAGTAGCTGGAAAACTTTTAAGACAAAAGAATGCCCTTCAGATGGTGAGATTTCAGATGGGGACAGGGAGTTTATTGGGATGAATGGGTGGCCCTTTTGTGTCAGGGGGCTGAGAGACCCTGGTCTAGCCTCCTTCTTCAACCTTGTTTTTCTGACTAGAACTTGCGTTAAAGAATATCACAGGCTGAAAGTGGCAGGCTTCTCCGGCTTCTTGGACCAGCAGGCCCTCCCTTTCCTTAGGAAACAGAGAGCGAGTGCAGGGTGAGGGCCTCTCTCTGTCACTAAGATCAGCAAAAGAGTGGACAGAAGGGTGTGTGAGGACACAGGTTGACATATGGATGTCCCCAAGGTAGTGAGAGAAGGGTTTTCAAAGTGCTTTAATTACCTGGGGCTATGGCCACATCTCCAAGCACCCAGCACTTTAAAACCATTAGCTGAAGCACTCACTGCTCAGCCAGGCCAAAATGGGTGTAATTGTCCCAAAGTCTCAGCGGCAGACTCCACCCCAGTATTCATTGTTCCAGATTGTTCTTTTGTAATGTGATCTAGAATTTGGATCCGTTTTTTGTTTTTTGTTTGTTTGTTTTTCGATCAGTTTTATAGAGAGAAATTCTAGAAGCTCAGGAAGCTCTTGATTGTATGAAGTCACTCTGGGTGGGGAAATCTGTTGAGTCAGGCCCAGCTTTGGGAGTCAGAGCACCCTGGGTTCAAATCCTGATAGATGTGGGTACTTACACAAGTAAAAGAAACTATCCAAACTGTCATGTCCACCTGTGTGAAATGCACACACCTTGAGGGGTTAAGTCAGAACGAAGCCCCAAATACAGGAAAGACCCAGCAGATGCTCTGAGGGCGCCTAGCAGATGTCCATGACATTCTCATGATGGGAAGTAAAAACAGGCACAAGGAAGAGAAAGGACTGGTCTGGAGTCTCGACGCTAGCCCTCCAATCTAGCCCTCCAGAGAGTCAAAGGACCCTGTTCCAGACCCAAAGCACACTCAGCTCCCGCTGGACGAAACCCCATCCCTACCCTGCTTTCACTCCTCTGCTCAGTCCTGTGCCAGCAGGGTCTGGGGTCTGGGCACCGATGAGCATCCTCCAGACACTTGTCCCCCACCTCTCTCTTGGGGAAGGGCAGAGCCCGGGCCAGAGCTGGGGCTGCGGCTGACCCCGGCGCCGTGCTGTGGCTTCTGCACCAGCCAGAGGGGGGAGCCGCCAGCCTGCGAAGCCCTGGAGTTCCGGGCCAGAGACCCAGCGGCGAGCCGGCCCAGGAGCGGGGGCGCCCTCGGTCCTCACCCCACCCCCGCCCTCTCCCCGCAGCGGGGGCGC